AATCAAGATTGGGAAGCAGAATCACCTTACGTGTTTCCTCAAAATTCCGAAATTGGTGCCTCATTGTGGTGCTATAAAACATCACCTGCTACAAAACGTCCCCACTGGTGAAAGGCAGGCTGTTTATCAGTAATATCACCTTCAACTTTTGAAAGCCAGCTAAAAAGTTTTTAAATGTATGCACTGTAGTCCTTTCCAATCCTTAAGCGCCTAAGTAAATCTGTATTTTATTTGTGAAAAAGGAAATTTACTTTGATGATTTGTGCAGAACAGTCTTAAAATATAGAACCATGTTAGAAAAAAAAATAGAAACTGAACAATGAACCCATGAGTGTAAGCAATGGCCTATCCGAGCGTTTGGGGGCACAATGCCTGCCCGAGATATCATAGGCCGCGAGTCAAGGTTGAGTGAATAGGTGTCTAGGCTTCAGGTTGTTTTGCGTGTTTACAGTGAGTAGAAGACAATGGTCTGTTTGGGAGGTTTACTGTGACACGAACAGTTAAAACCGCCCAAGCATGATAGCCCAGTGTTCAGCCCAGACAAAGTTCTCAATAAACGCCGGGCATCCTTGTTATCACTATGATTTTCTGTGTAGATGTCCCACAGATTCCAGGCAAATTTTGTCAAAACCACTTTGTAATTCGTAGTTCTTTTATCACAAAGCATGTTTGGGGTGTGGGGGAGGGTAGGTATATGCCTAGTCTCCCTCCCTTCAATCTTCCTATCATAAATGATTTTTGAAATATATGACCTACCGGAGGATTAATGGTTCCATGGATATTTTGTTTGCTTGAAGTACTTTATTTCTTTATAATAGCTTTATTGAGATATAACTTGTAAGCTGACCTGTTCATCTGCGTCCACTGGCGTTGAAGGACACGTGCAGGGGTGCAGAAGTGTCCCCAGCATCGCCATTGCTCACATGTGTATCATCTCACAAAGAATGCCTGGGCTCACGGTCTCCTCATAGGTTTCAGACGCCAGTGGATCGATGAGTGTGACGGTGGTGGCGGAAGAAAACCCCTTCTCCATGGCTATGCTGCTGTCTCAAGAATGCTTCATTTTAGACCATGGCGCTGCGAAGCAAATTTTCGTGTGGAAAGGTAAATGGTGCCAGTGATGTTGTACTTCGTTTGCATAGGCATTTCTTCAGCAAGGTAAAGAAAACACTTTTTCCTGATTTAAAAAAAAAATCTAGCTCTCTGGGACATGCTGAATTAATAGTTCATATAAATGCAGCCTTTAAAACCATATTTTCTTCCTAGAGACATTATTTGCCAAGGATTAGGGGTTAAAGAAGGCAATATGGCCAAACAAAAGCAAGCAAACAGCAACCACCTCTGTGCATGCGCGCCATTTCTTAGGGTTTTGTTAAATCTGTTCAGTGTGATGAGAAGCGTGTTTCTATCTCCTTAGCATTATATGCCAATGCCAGGTGTGCCTGTTTTGGGGATAAAGAAAGTGTTTCTATTGTTGGATGATTTCAGAATCAACAGGTATGTCTCTCGGCTTTGTTTTGTGTTTTAGGGAAAGATGCGAATCCCCAGGAGAGGAAGGCTGCAATGAAGACAGCGGAAGAATTCCTAGAGCAAATGAATTACTCCAGCCACACTCAAGTACGTGTACCAATGAACTGACTAGCAAGATCAACACAGGACAAAGGATTTGGCTTAAGTACGGTGTCTCTGTGAAGTCATTCTTCCTCTGGATGTGTGCAGTCTGGCTTTACAGATGCTTAGCACTTAATCTGTGTGGGGGATATGATTTTGCAGAAGTTAGAGATCAGACCCTCAATAAGGCTGCATGATGAAAATAAGAGCCCACCCACTTCCCCAGCAATCTTTATTTCCAGATAATCAACCAGGGTTGAATCGAGTGGAAGCACTTATCAGTGGTCCCTAACAGCAAGTTGTGCAAACAGAGAGTAAGACCCATATATTACGTGGTTCCATTTCAGTCAACCTGGGCAGTTAGTTACTCTTTCCCTTTTTGAGTCCCTCGGCCTTGTTCCCTCGCTTTGCTTTTAGACGCTGGCACAAGTAACACAAAGAGACCTTTCTTCCGGAGCACAGACCTCTTGTGAACCGGATGCAAACCCCATCAAAACTCACTCCACTTGCAATGATAACACTTTAAAGAACCTTATTTTTATCTGGTTTCAGTGGCAAGACCTCAGGTTGTAAGAGAAAGTAAGACTGTTTGCTGGATTATTTAAGATTCATATTTGATCATTTATTATTATTATTTTTTAAAGGAGTCCAGCTTCTAAATTAATCTCTGTAATAGTAGAAGCCAGCAAAAACTTTCATTCTCGCTACACTCTTTTCATCATAACTACATTTTTTTCCCAACCCCTGCTTATTATTGTAATTGATTTTTTTTTTCAGATTCAGGTTCTTCCGGAAGGAGGAGAAACACCCATCTTCAAACAGTTCTTTAAGGACTGGCGAGAGAAAGATCAGAGTGACGGCTTTGGGAAAGTGTACGTCACGGAGAGAGTGGCTCACGTGAAACAAATTCCATTTGACGCCTCCAAGTTGCACGCTTCGCCACAGATGGCTGCTCAGCACAATATGGTGGATGACGGCTCTGGTCAAGTGGAGGTATTTACCTGGCTCTGCTGGTTTGGACCTAGAAGTACAGGAAACTAGAAACGGCAATGTTTACAAAATATAAATGTTCATAAGGAAGAGGGTCTACTAGGCCAGCATATGAAATCATGTCATTTAAACCTGGGATATATTTTGTCTGACCTCCTATTTACAGTTGTGAAGTCTGAGATTTCAAGAAGTTCGGTGAAGTTTCTCTTCACCATGACCTTAGAGACTTTGGCAGTGCGCTCTGTCTGCCATGTCTCAGGTCCATCATCGCCCTGGCTCTCAACGCCTCACCGGAGCGCCATCCAGGGAGGGTGTGCCACCCCTTGGATGTGCACTACCCTTAGCTTGTCCACCCGCCACATCTCAGAAGCTGGTATTCCCAAAAGCAGTTGGTCATGTGTTGGGTACTGACGTCAGAGGTACCCTTTGAGAGCGGTTGTCTCAGTTCCCCAGCGCTGCTCTAGAAGAAATGCGCAGTGTACGGCGTTAACACACAGAAAAGTATCCTCTTACGATGGTTTAGGATGTTAGGGATCCAAGATCAGAGTGCTAGCTCTCAGGGGGGCTTTCTAAACTCTCTCCGCTTCAGGGAAGGCCTCTTGTTTCCTTCCAGCATCTGTCGGTCTGGCCGTTGTCTTGGCAGCACTCTTCACCCGGGTCTAGTAGTGGCACCCCAAGTCCAAGGATGCACTCCACTCCCTGCGCTTCTTTCGTGGTCGTAGTAGGGCCCCCTCTCTCTGCTCGCTTTTCTCGTCTTCCAACGCTTGTGAACAACCTTTGCCTAATGGCTAGACCACTGAGAAGAATGGCCTAGCCAAGTTGGCACATATTTGGAGAGGCCACAGTTCAATCCATAACAGCAGAGGGATTGAGTTTGTGGATTATTCCATTTTAGGGAAAATAATTAACAACAGCAACAACAACAACAATAATAAAACAAGATAAAACCCCTTAATCATTCCCCCAGACTCAACTTTCTTCACACTCAATTCTCTTTTGAGTATAACTTTCTACAACTGGATGTTGTTACTTCCCATTCAAATATTTTTTCTTGGCTCTCTTTAACTAAAAACCTTGATTTTCAATGGTACCCATAAAGCTTCCATGATTTAACCCTGAACTTCCTCCCTACCTCACCCTTCCACTGCCTGAGTGCCACCCATCTCTGCCATGTGGCTAACATCCTTTCTTTGCCTCATGAACACATTTTAACCACAATCCTGACCTCTTCCCAGATGCCTGTCCTCTGCACTGAAAGAGCCTCTCTCTGTGTACATCAATGGGCCTAGTCTGTGTTCAACCCTTAAATCATATTTTTCATACAGTAGACCATATAAGTACTGCACAATTGATCATTCACTTAAAGGCTTCTATCAGACCTCTTATCAGGTCCTTGATGGCAAGAATTGTACATTTCTTTTCTGTATTACTACAATGACTGTCACAATGGGCCTGCCACAATGACTGGGTCCAAGAATATTCTCAAAAGATTTAAGAAATCATCCGACCTATTTTCAAAGACATAAAATGTGAGTCTCAGTAGGAAATGGGTTTGCGGGTGAAAGATGCCAAAAGAGAAAGTCACAAATGCCCCTCATTGCTAATAGAAGAGTGTTGAGTATCTGTCTCCTGATCTGGGGGAGAGTCATCCTCTCCAGGAGCTTAGCACAGGCCACACAGCCAGGCCGGTGGGGCAGGGTTGGCTCCCCAGCACAGGCGCAGTGTAGGCCTGCAATCTCAGTCTCACTGAGATGACCTCCTGGGTCAGCCCAGGGCTGTTGACCTTTGGGGCTCTGCAGCTCCTTGCTTTAGAGAGGCAGTGCTGCCATTTCTCCTCTGCTTACTGGAGAGTATGAAATGGAGTTTTCTGAGAGCAAGACACTGCCTCTCCATTAGCTACTCTCCACACTTTGGGGCAAAGGGTCCCAGACAGGAAGCAGGTGTTTGTGCATAGCAGTGTGTGGCGGCTCCTCGGTCATTCATGTTACCCTCTGGTTTCATCTGCACAGCACTCGCCTCTCCAAATTGGAGTGCCTTCCATCTGTGAGGAGGCTGAGGGGTTAGAATGACAACCGATTCTGCTTACCTTTATCCCTTGTCATACCTTTTTCAACTCATGCCTGGATGATCCCTTTGCAACAAATGTCATTCTAATTTGGTTGAGCTATAACAACTCTTACCTGAGAGAAACCATAGCTTCAAGTCTTAAAGCACAAGGAAAGAGAAAAGCAACAACAATGAAAGCAAATTACTATTTCATGCCCAACGAGAAACTACTCTTAGAAACTTGTAAGGTCTCTGAGCCGAATATGGTAGTCCATCAGTCCTCTAGAGTGTCAGTTACTTCTACTAGACAATCAATCAGTACGCTTAACCAACTGATTCACAACTGAGTCAAATACTGTGGAGGATGCAAAAATATATATAAGCAAGTTTAAAGTCAGTCAATAAATTTCCAGATTGATAAACAGTCTTCCCTTTGCTTGATTTTTAAACTAGTTGTAAAGGGACTTGAGAACTTGGCTTAGTTCCCACGTGGAGCAAAACAGAGCAAAGAAAACCAAATCCCCCCAGGAAGCCATTGTCCACAGGACTCACCACCCATGTGCACCATCGCCTCTTCTACTTTGAGACCAGAAGCAGCAGCGATGGTGCACGTGAGTTTGTAGTTCCCAGCTACGACGACAGACCATTCTAACCAGAGACATGAGAGATGGTCTCAGATAGGATGGGAGAAAAGTGTAGAACACAACTCAAATTGATAAGCACCACCAGAATAACTGGATTGACAAAGACTGCAGGAACCCCTGTGAGACTGTTACCTTAAACTGTCTCTTTACTAGCAACTGAAGCCACGTCTAGAGGTCACTTTTCAGCCACATAATAGACTGGCCTATAATACAAAGAGTAGTACCCATGTGAAATGGGCTCTTTGAACAATCAACTGTACGAAATCCAAACAGTCAACAACATTTGTATCAAAGCAAAGGTGAGAGGGCACGTTGTGCTGAGCAAGTAGGCGGGTGAAAACAGGGCAGGCAGGGCAGACATGGTGAGTGTTGATATGTTCTGGGGATTGTAACCGACATCAAAGAACACTTTTTGTGCATGAGTTGTTGAATGGGAATCTTATTTGCTGTGTAAAATTTCACTTAAAATACAGAAATTCCTGGAAAATTAAAGAGGCAGCAACAGTGAGGGAAAACAGCCTTTATCCATCCAAAGACTTGTACCAGAATATTCGAGCAGCACTATTCATAATAGCTCAAGACAGACACAAATAAAGCTGGTTATCATAGATATAGGCACCTTAGAGCCTCTAGTTAAGTGCTTGGTAGCTAATTGAAAGGTCTTCACTCAAACCCACTGGCTGTTCTTTGAGAGAAAGATCTGATCATCTGCTTCCATAAATATTGACAGCCTAGCAAGCCATTTGGCCAATTCTGCTCTGTCCTATTGGGTCCTGGTGAGTGGCATTAGACTTGATGACAATGATTTTTTTAAAAAAAGAAAAGTGTTATAGATCTAAACTGAAAGTTAAAGCTCATGAGACTCAAGAAAAAAAACTAATTTTGGTGCATGTATTCCTTTCCTTGCAGATTTGGCGTGTAGAAAATAATGGTAGGATCCCAGTGGACCCAAACTCATATGGTGAATTTTATGGTGGTGACTGCTACATTATACTGTACACTTATCCTAGAGGACAGATCATCTACACGTGGTAAGTTTACCTCTTTAACGAGATCTCACATTTTATAGGGACCCAATTGGCCTCTAGAGTGTCAGATGGCATGTGGTAGAAAGCAGGAAAACCCCACAGTAACACCAGTGAGGTTTGTATGGCATGCATAGAGATATGGTTCACGACATTTCTTTGGACACAGTCTTGAGCATGTTTTGTAGCTGTTGCTCACGGGCATGAGGGGATCAGCTAGCAACCACCCTCTCTATTCGAGGAATATAGTTTTGATATCCAAATTGACTTGAATTGTGAGTGGACACATAGTTGAATATCTCCTCATCTGTGCAGGCAAATATTCCACCTGGTCGATATTGGGTCCTCATACTGTTAGAACGCACCACAGTCGGTCACTTTGAATTGCAGTTCCAAATGGCAGCAAAACTAACTGTGCAGGGGCTATAGCTTCTCATTTCATTTCCTACCCAACAAACCTGAAATCGATGTGTTCTTTCATCTGCAGCCCTATGGCATTCAGGTAAATGGTGGAGCAATCCATACATCCTGTATGAATTTTCATGGGGAGTTGACTTGTTTGAAGATTTGGTTGACTTAGTCTGAATCAGTAACAAGGCCCTCTTCAGGGAGGAAGGATCCGATGGCCAACAAGTGATTTAACTTCATGCCCTATGCTGGGCTGTTTCCAAAGGAGGGGGCTTCTGAGATAAAACACACAATGTAGTATGATCTTACTTTTTAACTTGATTTTATTTGGTATAATCAGTGAAATAGAATCATGCCAACAAGAATGGAAAAAGGAAAAATATTTTTTTAAATGTCTTACTGTTGATCGGTGTGGGTAGTAGGAGCAAGACTGGGGGCAGAATCATGTCTTACCTGAGGAGGGCAGCCATGAGTAGGGCTATTGAATGAATGTAGGTTCAGGTCTCTGCTGATTTGGCAGCACTGTAAAAAAAATTTAATGTGGTTAGCAAAACAATTCGTGAAATCTTGAAGGAATAGTAGAAGACAAATCTTTGCTCAGCGGATACGTTCTTTGGTGAGGGTCACACTAGATAACAACG